CCCTACCCCAATCCATCAGACTATCGCCTACTCTGCTTACCTTTAGGCGCACTCTGAAAACCCATCTCTTCAGGGGGGCCTACCCCGCCCTCAGCTAATACTGGAATCCTCTACTCTTCCAACCATTCCACCCCCACAGTTATTATCTCTTGTACCACTATCCCCTCCCTCCTAGATTGGCTCCAAGGAGCAGGGCCCTCGAACCTCTCATATATTGAACTGTATTGTTACTGTATTGTCTCCCACCATAATGTAAAGCGCTGAGCAAACTGCCGGCGCTATATAAATCCTGTATAATAAAAAATAATAATAATAATAGTTAGGTGGCTGGGAGAGGGGGGCAATGCATATGCCCCCCCCCCTCCCTAGTGAGGGCATGGTGTGAGTATGTAGAGGGGGATATAGGATGAGGATGAGCTGTGGACATGACATGAGGGACAGTCTTGAGAAATGTGTGAGGATCTTCAGCAAGTGGAGGTGTGCTAGCTAGGGAGCAGTGGTGTATGCTGTGAGTTGGGTATAGTGGAATGTGTATACTGTGAGCAGAGATGAGGACACAGTGTGAGCATAGCTGGAGAGGTTTTAACATGCAGATGCATTACAAGCACCTTGAGCAGGAGGGAGTGGGTTTTGAGTGATGTGCCAAATACTTGCTGTGATGGATAGAGTGGGGAGAGATTTTGTTGAGGGGGAGCGAGATGTGCTGGAGTTCCTCTGTGGGGTTGGGGGGGTTGATGATAAGGTGAGATGTGCAATGGTCTGCTGTGGAAGGGATGGGCTGATGGGGACAAACGTGTGGTAAATCTGCTATGGAAGAGAGGGAAGATGTGACTGGTGCCTCCTGTCATCCTTTCATGCTCTTGGCACCAGTGTCCTGCAGCCTCAACCTCTACTGTTCACATAGTGCTGGGGGACAGGATCTTCTTCAGCCAGGATGATCAAAAATGGGCACAGAAGGAACTGAACAAACCAGAGTCTGCTCTCTTGCATGCCCACCTCAGTCCTGTTGTGCCCCAATCTCTATGTCACTGCCTCCACCATGAAGAGCAGGAAGCACATTCAGAGAGGTCCCAATCTCTGGCTGGGGAGCTGCTATTACATACTCATCAATTCTAACTTTCAGCTCTCCTGCACACTGGTCCCAGCCCTGCAGCTCCTGACACATACCAAGCAAACTCGACTCCCATGCATGCCCACCCTAGCACCACAGATCTCTAGATAGAGGTGCCGCCTCTGCTGATCTACCTGGTGTGTTCTAGTAAGCCAGGCTCCAGCAGAGCAGTGGATAGTGAAACCGGGTTTTTTTTTGCGGGGGCTTGGTGAACTGGCAGGGTTTGGGCAGATGTTGGGAGGGATTTTTGTGAGGTGATGTGGTAAGAAGAGTGGAAAGAAGGGCTGAATATGGGGGTGGGGGGGGGTCAGAATGTCCTGCCCTATGTCTTACTGGTGTTGTGCCACTGGGGGACCAGAATCAGAAAGCCCGGTGTTGTGTTGTTCTCTTTTTCTGTTTCCCATGTGTTATGTGTACCCCCTTTTTTGATCTCTCAATGGGAATCAGAAATAGGATTTTTTTTTATTTTCTTAAAGATATAGTACGATCCTTAATATATAAAATGGCATTTTATATTTTCATTCATGTGCAGTCAAAGGTTTCCCTGACCCATTTACAGTGAGGAACAGAAGTATTTGAACACCCTGCGATTTTGCAAGTTCTCCCATGTAGAAATCATGGAGGGGTCTGAAATTCACATTGTAGGTGCATTCCCACTCTGAGAGACAGAATTTAAAAAAAAAATCAGGAAATCACATTGTATGATTTTTAAAGAATGTATTTGTCTTGCACTGCTGAACATAAGTATTTGAACACCTAAGAAACAGCAAGAATTCTGGCTCTCAAAGACCTGTTACTGTACCTTTAAAAAGTCCACCTCTACTCCACTCATTAATCTAACTTAGTAGCACCTGTCTGAGCTCTTTAAAGACACCTGTCCACCCCACAGTCAGTCAGATGCCAACTACTACCATGGGCAAGACCAAAGAGCTGTCAAAAGACACCAGAGACAAAATTGTGGACCTCCACAAGGCTGGAAAGGGCTACGGGGCAATTGCCAAGCAGCTTGGTGAAAATAGATCAACTGTTGGAGCAATTGTTAGAAAATGGAAGAGGCTAAAGACGACTGTCAGTCTCCCTCGGACTAGGGCTCCATGCAAGATCTCACCTCGTGGGGTATCACTGATGATAAGAATAAGAGTGAGGAATCAGCCCAGAACTACAAGGGAGGAGCTGGTCAATGACATGAAGAGAACTGGGACCACAGTTTCAAAGGTCACTGTCGGTAGAACACTACGCCGTCATGGTTTCAAATCATGCATTGCAGGGAAGGTTCCCCTGCTCAAGTCATCACATGTCCAGGCCCGTCTGAAGTTTGCCAATAACCATCTGGATGATCCAGAGGAGGCATGGGAGAAAGTCATGTAGTCAGATGAGACCAAAGTAGAACTTTTTGGTCTAAACTTCACTCGTGTTTCACTCGTGTTGTGAAGCAGGGGGGTGGTAACATCGTGCTTTGGGGGTGCTTTTCTGCGAAGGGGACAGGACGACTGCACTGTATTAAGGAGAGGATGAATGGGGCTGTCAGGGCTCCCAGGTATGACCAGAGGTGTGTGACTGAAGCAGGGAAACGCAGACTTCAGATATGTGATTAACAATGTAATTTATTAACACTAACAATACAAACATAAACGCAGTGCAATACTAAACATAATACAGTGCAAACAAACCCCAACCCACCCACAGATAACAGTACATACAAGCAAGCGTCGTCAGGCAGGCCGAGTCAATATCAATTGGGCAGGTAGGTACAGGGGGAGCAAGCGGAGAATGGTCGGGGTCACAGGCCAGGTTCAGCAGGTAGCAAGCAGCGTAGTACAGAGGGTCAGGCAGAGGGATGGTCAGGGTCACAAGCCAGGGATCAGAACAGGTAGCAAGCAGCGTAGTACAGAGGGTCAGGCAGAAGGATGGTCAGGGTCACAAGCCAGGGATCAGAACAGGTAGCAAAGGAACAGAAACAGGATGCAGGACAGATACAGGGCCCAGGACAAACACAACACCAAGGCAGAGTCTGCAAGTCTGGCCATCCCTTTAAAATACACCAGTATCATCAGTTCCAGGTGTTAGCTGGCTGAAAGGTTGAGTCTCTGATTGCTGGGAGCACCCGCTGGCCAGCCCTGGTACTGCAGATCAAAAGGCAGGTGAGTCCCACCATTGCTGGCCAGTCCATTCCTGACAGTACCCCCCCCTCAAGGAGCGGCCTCAGGACGCTCCAAACAGTCCTAGCTGGGAAAAATGTTCCACCGCCCGGGTCTGGTAACTGGCGGGATATCAAAGACTGGCACACCGGGCAGGACTCCGGGCAGCGGTACACCGGGCAGAGGCACATCGGGCTGGACTCCGGGCAGAGGCACACCGGGCAGAGCCACACCGGGCAGAGGCACATCGGGCTGGACTCCGGGCAGAGGCACATCGGGCTGGACTCCGGGCAGAGGCACATCGGGCTGGACTCCGGGCAGAGGCACATCGGGCTGGACTCCGGGCAGAGGCACACCGGGCAGAGGCACATCGGGCTGGACTCCGGGCAGAGGCACATCGGGCAGGACTCCGGGCAGAGGCACATCGGGCAGGACCCCGGGCAGAGGCACATCGGGCTACCGGGCGAAGCGGCAGGCAGCGAGCCCCCGGGCGGAGCGGCAGGCACCGAGCCCCCGGGCGGAGCGGCAGGCACCGGGCCCCCGGGCGGGGCGACAGGCCTCGGGCCCCCGGGCGGGGCGACAGGCATCGGGCCCCCGGGCGGAACTACAGGTCTCGGGCCCTCAGGCGGAGCGGCGGGCGCCGGACCCCCAGGTGGAGCGACAGGCATCGGGCCCCCAGGCGGGGCGACAGGCATCGAGCCCCCAGGCGGGGCGCGACAGGCATCGAGCCCCCAGGCGGGGCGACAGGCATCGGGCCCTCAGGCGGAGCGACAGGCATCGGACCCCCAGGTGGAGCGACAGGTCTCGGGCCCCCAGGCGGAGCGACAGGTCTCGGGCCCTCAGGCGGAGCGGCGGGCGCCGGACCCCCAGGTGGTGGAGGTGGAGCGACAGGTCTCGGGCCCTCAGGCGGAGCGGCGGGCGCCGGACCCCCAGGTGGAGCGACAGGTCGGGGCCCTCAGGCGGAGCGGCGGGGGCGCCGGACCCCCAGGTGGAGCGACAGGTCTCGGGCCCTCAGGCGGAGCGGCGGGCGCCCGGACCCCCAGGTGGAGCGACAGGTCTCGGGCCCTCAGGCGGAGCGGCGGGCGCCGGACCCCCAGGCGGTGCGACAGGTCTCGGGCCCTCAGGCGGAGCGACAGGTCTCGGGCCCCCAGGCGGGGTGGCGCGGGCGCCGGACCCCCAGGTGGAGCGGCGGGCGCTGGACCCCCAGGCGGAGCGACAGGTCTCGGGCCCCCAGGCGGAGCAGCGGGCACCGAGTCACCAGGCACGACAGTGGGCTCCGAGTCAACTGGCATGACCGCTGGCACTAGGTCAGACATTGGATCGTCTGGCTGGACAGCGGGCATCGGGTCACCAGGGCATCAGGTCATTTGGCTCGACAGCGGGCACCGTGTCATCTAGCAAGGCAGTGGGCTCCGAGTCAACTGGTATGACCGCGGGCACTGGGTCAGACATTGGATCGTCTGACCGGACAGCGGGCATCGGGTCACCAGGCATCAGGTCATTTGGCTCGACCCGCGGGCACCGCGTCATCTGGCAAGGCAGTGGGCTCCGAGTAAACTGGTATGACCGCGGGCACTGGGTCAGACATTGGATCGTCTGACTGGACAGCGGGCATCGGGTCACCAGGCATCAAGTCATTTGGCTTGACAGCGAGCACCGCGTCATCTGGCAAGGCAGTGGGTTCCGAGTCAACTGGCATGACCGCGGGCACTGGGGCAGACATTGAATCGTCTGGCTGGACAGCGGGCATCGGGTCACCAGGCATCAGGTTATTTGGCTCGACAGCGGGCACCGCGTCATCTGGCAAGGCAGTGGGCTCCGAGTCAACAGGCACGACAGTGGGCACCGGGTCATCAGGTACCGGATTGTCTGGCTCGACAGCAGGCATCGGGTCACCAGGTATGACAGCGGGCACTGGGTCACCAGGCATCAGGTCATTTGGCTTGCCAGCGGGCACCGCGTCATCATCTGGCAAGGCAGTGGGCACCGGGTCACCAGGCATTGGATCGTCTGGCTCGACAGCGGGCATCGGGTCACCAGGTATGACAGCGGGCACTGGGTCACCAGGCATCAGGTCATTTGGCTCGCCAGCGGGCACCGCGTCATCTGGCAAGGCAGTGGGCACCGAGTCACCAGGTACGACAGCGGGCTCTGAGTCAAATTGGCACGACAGCGGGCACCGGATCAGGTACCGGATCATCTGGATCAACAGCGGGCATCGAGTCAACTGGCCTAATAGGATCGTCAGGCTGGATCAGTTCATCATGCTGGGTAGAGGCATCAGGCTGAATGCCGGCGTCCGGCTGAGTAGAGGCTTCAGGCCGAGAGTAGAGGCTTCAGGCCGAGTAGAGGCTTCAGGCCGAGTAGAGGCTTCAGGCCAGGTAGAGGCTTCAGGCCGAGTAGAGGCTTCAGGCCGAGTAGAGGCATCAGGCCGAGTAGAGGCATCAGGCCGAGTAGAGGCTTCAGGCCGAGTAGAGGCATCAGGCCGAGTAGAGGCTTCAGGCCGAGTAGAGGCATCAGGCCGAGTAGAGGCATCAGGCCGAGTAGAGGCTTCAGGCCGAGTAGAGGCTTCAGGCCGAGTAAAGGCTTCAGGCCGAGTAGAGGGCTTCAGGCCGAGTAGAGGCTTCAGGCCAGGTAGAGGCATCAGGCCGAGTAGAGGCTTCAGGCCGAGTAGAGGCATCAGGCCGAGTAGAGGCTTCAGGCCGAGTAGAGGCATCAGGCCGAGTAGAGGCATCAGGCTGAAGAGAGGCATCAGGCTGCATACAGGCATCAGGCTGAAGAGAGGCATCAGGCTGCGTACCGGCATCAGGCTGAAGAGAGGCATCAGGCTGCGTACAGGCATCAGACTGAGTAGAGGAGGCATCAGGCTGAGTAGAGGCATCAGGCTGAGTAGAGGCATCAGGCTGAGTAGAGGCATCAGGCTGAGTAGAGGCTTCAGGCTGAGTAGAGGCTTCAGGCTGAGTAGAGGCTTCAGGCCGAGTAGAGGATTCAGGCCGAGTAGAGGATTCAGGCTGAGTAGAGGATTCAGGCCGAGTAGAGGATTCAGGCCGAGTAGAGGATTCAGGCCGAGTAGAGGCTTCAGGCTGAACCACGGAAGGCAGGTTCACCAGTTTGGATACTGGCAGGATGGTATTGGTTGGAAAGAATTTTCGCTTTTTTCTGGTTTTAACTACTGGAGCACTGCAAGTAAACGCAGGTCTGCAAACGAATGGAGCAGCTGGAGACAGAGAAGAACTGGAGGATGGAACAGGAGAGGGCAGTTGCTACAGAGGGCTTTTTTCAGGGTTAAAGGCAGGATAGGTGCAGCGAGTGGGAACAGGGTACTGACATGCGGTAGATAGCCAAGTATACTGGGCTGTAACTGGAGGAGCTGTTGGGAATACAGGAGTAGAGTTAGAAGCAGGACTGGGTTTTTGTAAGCTGACTGAGGCTGGGTGCAACAAGTCTGTCCATGTCTGCAGTAGGGGTTGAACAAAGCTGAGCTTACACAAAGCCTGTCTGGTCAATGACTGCACTGCGTTTTTACAATCTCTTAGTGTCTGTGTGAACATGTGGAATAACGCTCCAGAAAGTAACCCACATCATCCTCTAATAACCACACCAGGGACTCTACCTGGTCTGCACTAAATGGTGGCAAAAATTCATCCCTGCATTCGGGGGTACCAGATGAAACCAACTCTGCACAAACCTCAATCAAAGGCTGCACCTCAGAGAACTCTGTGCCCTGATCTACTAGAACATGAGCGAGCCGTATACATTCTAGTAGTTGATCCCTGGGATACTCCTTCAGAGTCTGATAAGCATACTCCCTGTCATCAAACACTAGCAGATATAAATACACAACCTCATCAAGATCCATCCTTCCCATCAACAAGCCAAGATGGCTTCCCTGTGCAGCCACTTCTGGTCAGGATTGGCCTTGGTGTAATGTCAGGGCTCCCAGGTATGACCAGAGGTGTGTGACTGAAGCAGGGAAACGCAGACTTCAGATATGTGATTAACAATGTAATTTATTAACACTAACAATACAAACATAAACGCAGTGCAATACTAAACATAATACAGTGCAAACAAACCCAACCAACCACCCACAGATAACAGTACATACAAGCAAGCGTCGTCAGGCAGGCCGAGTCAATATCAATTGGGCAGGTAGGTACAGGGGGAGCAAGCGGAGAATGGTCGGGGTCACAGGCCAGGTTCAGCAGGTAGCAAGCAGCGTAGTACAGAGGGTCAGGCAGAGGGATGGTCAGGGTCACAAGCCAGGGATCAGAACAGGTAGCAAGCAGCGTAGTACAGAGGGTCAGGCAGAAGGATGGTCAGGGTCACAAGCCAGGGATCAGAACAGGTAGCAAAGGAACAGAAACAGGATGCAGGACAGATACAGGGCCCAGGACAAACACAACACCAAGGCAGAGTCTGCAAGTCTGGCCATCCCTTAAATACACCAGTATCATCAGTTCCAGGTGTTAGCTGGCTGAAAGGTTGAGTCTCTGATTGCTGGGAGCACCCGCTGGCCAGCCCTGGTACTGCAGATCAAAAGGCAGGTGAGTCCCACCATTGCTGGCCAGTCCATTCCTGACAGGGGCCATTTATTGTGAGATTTTGAGCAACAACCTCTTTCTCTCAGTCAGAGCATTGAAGATGGGTCGTGACTGGGTCTTCCATCATGACAACGACCCGAAGCACACAGCCAGGATAACCAAGGAGTGGCTCTGTAAGAAGCATATCAAGGTTCTGGAGTGGCCTAGCCAGTCTCCAGACCTAAATCCAATAGAACATCTTTGGAGGGATCTGAAACTCCGTGTTGCTCAGCGACAGCCCTAAAACCTGACAGATCTAGAGGAGATCTGTGTGGAGGAGTGGGCCAAAATCCCTGTTGCAATGTGTGCAAACCTGGTCAACAACTACAGGAAACGTTTGACCTCTGTAATTGCAAACAAAGGCCTCTGTACCAACACTGATTTTCTCAGGTGTTCAAATACTTATGTTCAGCACTGCAAGACAAATTCTTTAAAAATCATACAATGTGATTTCCTGAATTTGTTTTTAAATTCTGTCTCTCAGAGTGGGAATGCACCTACAATGTGAATTTCAGACCCCTCCATGATTTCTAAGTGGGGGAACTTGCAAAATCGCAGGGTGTTCAAATACTACTGTTCCTCACTGTATATTCTATCTTGATAACACTGTGCAGTGATGTGGGACTTTTTTAAGGCTAAGGTTGGTTGAATGGACAAAAATATGAGCTGTGGGTGGTCCTTGAAACTATCACACTGGAATCCTGCTTTTGCTAAAACCAGGTTCTCCCACTGATTGGTGCAGTTATTGATACAAAAGATCAAAGATTAAATTTGTTTATTAGATACAAGTAACTGCCAATATAGAATGTATAAAGGGCAGCAATAATGGTGAAGCAGTAATCCATAATAACCTAAAAGAACTTTTGAGAAATTAGCTTAAATTAGTCATGGATTACAGTACAATATTGCTGCTTGTATAATGAAATTAAACAAACACAAATGCTTTTTTTTATACTTTACATGTCATTAAGAAACTGCAGTGTTTATTAATATTTATTTTACTTTATGAATAATCAGTCATAATAGAACTAAAGGAGCAACACTATACACAGTATAATTGGATTTCTGACAACTAACATATTTTACTTCTATGCTTGGTTAAAAAAGTAAGTAAAGGCAACAGATTTAAAGCTTTTATGTCTGAATTCGTGAAATCCTGGTGGTTTGTTCCTTTGACACGTACAGGGAAAATTTACAAGTGAAAAGAAAAGAAATGAGTTTAAGTTTTAATTTGGAGCTCGGCTATATTGTTATCTGCCAAACCGCCAACCAACTTTTTCCTGCTCACAATGAGAAGAGGGTCATTGGCAGAAAACTGCCTATGCCACAATCAAATAATCTCTTTCATCCACAGCACTGATCCTTTTAATAAACAAAATACGAAAAGGGAGTCAAAATTACGTCTAGCCTGTTTGAAAAGCAAGGAAATCCTGCAAGTACAATTCCCCACTTGTTATGTTCTTGGACCATGTGACTTAAAGTCATTCTGTGGGATAAAAGACCCAAGCTGGTATCAGGGTTCTGCCATGCTTTTCCCTTAGTTCCCAGTCTTAGCCCATCTGTTATTCAGTAAGAACATGAATGGCATGTGTCAAGAGAGTCATCACTGAGCAAACTGCCCAAAGAAATCAGCTAAGGGACTTCCCTTTTTTCCTCTTACACAATTGTTGTGGAGGCAGCCACCATATGGTGAATAATTAGTTTTTTTGACCTTACTCCAGTAGAATGTTCCTGCCGCTGCCAGGCTCTATCAATATGTGTATTAATGAGAGAGACCAGTGAAAGCATTTGCATTAACATTGTGATGCCTATTGTGCACATTTTTATGGCATAATAGTTACACACAATAACACGTTTAATTGCAATGCAAAATGTATTGTAGTTTCTTAACCAAAGCTACTGCTGTGTCATTCTGTATATGCAACACAGGGGTATATAATGATAATTCCCAAATGTGTTATATTTTCATCACATCCTGCTGGAGCTGTAAAGGCATGTAATGCAATCAGGAACACATTCCACAGCATATTGATAAATTGCTTATTAGTGGTGCAATAGGCTAGGGCAAGGGATTTCAATGGTTCTCCAGACTGAGGCAACACATTAACAAGGCACTGTTAGCAATGTCATCCATGGTATACTCACAAAGGGGTGCCCAGCTAACCATTTAAAGCTAAAGTTTATTTGCTACTATTTCCCTGAAATACTTATTTAAGTGCTGTTTTACCTGCCAAAGGATTTGCCTGGAGACCTGACTTTTTACTAGCAGAATTAAGTAATACTTCCCCCTGTCCCAGCCTGTGACTGGATAGTGAAGGGCAATAAGAAAACTGATGACAGTCTACTCTCTCCTGATGTCAATATATTAATTATTAGCATATGAGCACTGCAGCATATTGGCTTTGCTGTACAGGGACCGCAAAAGGCTGATGCCAGGTCACATTTAGGTACTTACATTAATTGCTTTAAACATAAATTTTCTTTTAAAATATAAACAGTATGCGAGGTGTGACAATCTAATTCCTGGAATAAACTGCAAAAAAAAAAAATGTTTTCTTACCTATTCACAAGCGGCTGTTGACACCTTGAAAGCAGTCCCCTTGTGAAGCAATGCACTTTTCTAGATGACTGTGTCACTGCTGGAAACA